TTCAAAAATAAAATGAATATTAATAAATAAATAAAATAAAACAAAAGAAAATAAATAAAATACGCTAAAATAGCTAATTATATTAGTCCAAAGTCCAAACAATCGACGTATCTAAGAGGGTCGGTGGACAGAATCCTTTCATCCACACAGATTTTGGCCCTGTCCACATTGTCATTTCAAATTTTAGCTCAATATTCTCTTTGACAATAGAATTTATTAATTCCCTTATTGTTAATTCTAATGTGAAATAACAAAAAAGAAACATTCTAATACATAATGGATAGACTTTCAATGGCTCCTCTTTGATGGTCGAAGCAGTTCGTTGCAAAACCACAACAGTTTCGAAATATCGAAAAGATGAACCTATCAAAATAAAAAATAATACCTGAATTGTACTTAATAAAAAATAGAAACTACACGATTCGGTATTTCGGTTTTCTTTATATTTTGCTATACATTTGTACCTTTTACTTTGGTTCATTTGGTGTAAAAAGCCACACCAAATTGAATCGACTCAGAATTTTCTATATAATAACCATATTGAATCGCACCGTGACATAATTTTTATACTATAATTGAAGGTAGAATAAGTTTTCAAAAGAGTCCATATCATGATGCATGTAGTACATCCGACCAGCTGTATATTTGATTGTCCCCTGGTCATATTGCCTGCTAAGTTTTCATGTTCAACTTTTTTGACATCTCATTAANTAGCAAAATTATATATATATACAAATATATTATTTTTTGTTATAATTAAAGTAAGGAAAAAATAAAAAAATTAAAAAAAAAAAAAAATAATAATAATAATAATAATAATAAATAACCACTTGTCGGCTTTCCCTTGGCGATTGGATGCATTATATTGTCCGTTTTAATTTGTCCGGCCAAGATTTATTTATTGAGAAGGAAAATTATATAAAAATCCATAAAAATTACTTTCTCATTTTAATATATTTTCGTAATTAAAAAATAAAAAGTAATCATTATAATATATTTTCCAATAAGAAAAAATATTATTCATCTACTCGCATATTTCTAACTACTAACAATTATATTAATTAATATTTTATTATTTTATATCACATCAATTTTAATCATTATAGTATTCCTCATGTTCATTTTATAATCTCAAACTTATCTCGTTTTTTCTAAAACCATTGTTTCACTTTTTTCTCATCTAGTAATGGTCTGGGCCAGGTAAGTATCATACAGTACTGGTAATAGGCCATTTTGGGATTTGGATGCACCAGCCCAAAGTCAAAGCCCAAATTCTGAAATATATTCAATCAACTTCAGTCTTCAGTTTAGCTTGTAGCCTACTTGCATTTTAAGTTTAAGCTTACTGCATTTTAAGTTTAAATTTTGTTAAGAAAATTATATCATTCAACTGTAAACTCATTTTAGTTGTAAACATTGACGAAGTTTCTAATTTTAATAAAAATTATAAAAAATTTTAATGGTTGATTTTATGGTTACCTTTTTTGTACTGATTTTTAAATTGCATGTTTTTCTTGTTTATGACTCGGGTTGAATGGTTTATGTATGATTTAATTTTTAATATTGTATTTTGTAAGAATTTTTAAAAAGTGTAGTACATATATAACTTTAATTTTTCCATTTGTCTTCTTTATTCTATTTACCTAACCAAAATGGAGATTGAGGTGGCAATTTTTTTATTTATTGTTTAAGTAAAAATCCAAACAACAAATCACACCACTATATTAAGTTAATAACTGCACAAAAAATATTTATTCTATTTTCCTAACCAAAATAGAGATTGAGATGGCAACAATTATGAAATAAAAATAAAAAATCCGGACAGAAAATCACACCACTTTATTAAGTCATAACTGCACAAAAAAATTCTAAATAATTTTAAGAAGTTTCCCATAAAAAAAATAAAAAACATAACACTGTCTGCAATTTTCATTTTCTTTTGTTACTCTAATGTTAGGAAGAAAGTGATTAGAAAGCAATAAATGTTAGATAATTGTCACATCCTTATCTGTCATGTTATATAGTGCGTACTGAGTGTAGCATTAATTATACATATTTTGTTTTATTTATGATAATTACTTGTAATGGAATAATATGTCAGCTTATAGTAACCGGCCTAAGTAGATAGAGACATTTATCTGCTTTGAGTTCCCAATTTTTCATATGCGCTAACTTTGGTAATATGAAAAGATTTAGCATTAATGAGTTGTTTGGTGATGGAAAGTAATGTTTAAACAAATTTTTATATAAGACAACTTATTTATAAACTGATACGAGCTATTATACATCTTCAATTAAAGTATATAGTTATACTTGTAAAATATTATATTTTTATTTATGTTAATTTTTAGAGTACGATATTTTAATTTAAAATTATACATNTCTACAGATCAGCCAGCCCGTTCTATTTCCATTAGACAGACTTCTTGTCGTTAAACATTCTAATTCGTTCCTATCATATTTTTTTTGCAATTTCATATTTTCACTATCAAATGTTTTATATTATTGTTTACAGTATCTTTTGAAATATAATATTACAGTATTAAAATAAGCATATTTATTAAAAAAATATACTTTTTTTAATAATTAGGTTTGCCTAACACCTATGATTTTGATAAAATGTACAAAATAATTGATTACAAAATTACCCATTTGTTTACTCTAATCTTAAACAATGTACTTCAATTTTATTAAGCAGAAACAATTCATTCATCTTTACAGAAAAACAGATAACCTTTTGAGAAAATATCAAAAAATGCAATTTCATAAAAATATCAAAAGCCTCAAGGTGCAATTTCATAAACCAGAAAATGCACACATACACAAAGCCTATCATCTGTAACAATTTTGAAGAAATAGTCAAAATCATAAACTCTAAACAAACTATGGAGTACAGACTTTATATCCAATGTGCAGAACATCAGCATTTGCAGGTTTTGCATTTACTTCATAGTGAACCAAACAAAAAAGTTCCCACAGTCGACAAAGAGAAAATAATTAAATCATTTACCAGCAATATTTACCCATCAAGATTCAAGATTCAACAACACTCACCAAAAACATCAACAAAAAAACAAGGAGATATATACAACAATACAACACTTATATGCAAAATTATTGAGCAGAAATGCAACAACACAATGATAAAAACTGAAGCAATGTATCAATCTCTTCAAATCATATATTATGTTTCAGCATTGTAATAATAGCAGCACAAAAAGCAATTTTGCAGTAAAAATCAGAAACCCTACCACAAAAATCACAGCTAACCGAAACACAAATCCCCTCGAATCGAATCCCCCGTGCGTAAAATTAATCGACACAAATTATTATTAGCATACAACGAACAATGAAACGTGTTCACGGTCGATTTTTTCTTATTTTTTTACCCTTTTCTTTTTTACCTCTCATCCACTACTTGACTATTTACGTAAAACGCTTCTCTCCTCTTCATGCCCACACCATCGACATGTGGTCCAGTTCTGTACTTCAGCTCCGAACCCACATTCCTAAAACGTGCATCCATTTGCCCGAGCCTCGTGTCCAAATCCCCTCCACCAACCCTATACGACCCACCAAGACTTCCCCCAATCCCACTGCTCGTCGAGTAATCACCCGATGAGACATATCTTGCTGGGGCCCGCAGCCCGCTTCCCCCGGCCCTCAAATCCATGATCTCAGACGAACGACTCGAAGATTCTGCAGAACCAGCAAACGGGCTCGGGCCCAATCTCTCGTTCGGGCCTGAATTCGGGCCCAATCCAGACGTAGGCCCACCCCCACTCAAGAAAGGCTCGTCCGGGCCCCACGAAGTGAGCGTGTCCTTCTTGTTGGCGAAGAAATGCCACACGACGAAGAGGAAGACGATAAAGAACAAAACCGGGCTCGTCCACAAAATACTATTAAACTCGTTCTTGAAAACCGGAAGATTCGAACGGTACATCGCTATGTAACCATTTCCGAGGCTCAACACGATTATTTTGTCGTAATCGCTCGCGACCAACGGGCCCTGGCCCGGGCCCGCTTCGTAGTTTACTAAGTCATCGACCGCGGCTTGCTGATTGAGGAAGGACGATAAGATCTCGTCGAGGCCCACTGAAAAAACGTGTCGGGGCCCACCAGACCGAACATAATGCTGAGTCGACACGTTGTACACGTGGACTTTATCCTCGTTCGCGAGCAACAAGTAGCCGCGGATGGCCTGCAGAGCCACTAACCGGTGGTCAAAGTCGAGCCTCCTCTTGGACCGGACCCGACACTTGAAATTCATGGCGTCGCCTAATAATAGCGTATGGACCAAATCGCCCTCGGAGGTGAGACCGTACGCTTTAGTCCGGTCGACCACGTCAAAAACGTAATTCTTCACGAAGGAATTGTTTAGCCCTTCGCATTCGGTTTCTTTTAGTCTCATGTTACGTAAATCGAGCGAACCGGCGCCCGTCTCGGTTAGGAACAAAAGCCTTTGTTTCAAGAACGAAACGGGTCGCCTTCCCGGGCTAATCGACCCGTATAAAGACCCGTCTTCTCCCAAAACTCGGAGCTTTCCCCCATTGTCGGAGGCGATGATGTACCTCTTTCGGCCCATTTGGTGGGCTTCTAATAAATTTATGCGGGCCCCACCAGGAGTCTCGAACCTCCCGACCCTCTCCGCGCGGAGGAGGGAGCTTTTCCAGTCATCTGAGGTTTCCCACACGCGGTTAATTACGATAATGCCATTCTCGTGTCCGGTGGCGATTAAGGTCTCGTTTTTGAAGACGGAGAGCACGGAGACGACAGCTGTTGCGGGGGAGTACTCGGACGGGTCGGAAAACGTGTCGAGCTCCAAGGATAAGTCCCCGTTTTTCGAGAAGATCATTAATTTGCCGTTGAAGTCCCCAACCGAGAAATATTTGCTCACGCCATCGTGATCTTTGAACGGGAGCACGTTGAGGAAGGTGGGGCTGAACCGTAATTTCACGGCCGACACGAACTGGAACTTCTCCGACCAGAAAGTGTTGTATTTGAAAATAGCTCCTCCCCTTTTTTTCCGTCCATTTGCCTGCAAGATTTCATCTTCCGTGGAAATTTCGGTTTCTTGTTTCGTCTTATCGATGTTTTGAGCTTGCCCGTGAGACGATGAGGATAAAGGTAGGTTGTTCTCTGCCTTCAAGGGGCACTCGGTGGAATGGGATTCTAACCTAGCAACCAGTTGGGTGAGGTTTTGAACTAATTCTTGCAGTTTTTCAAGTTCTTTCGAGAAAACAACATCGTGTATGCTGACAAGATCGGTTTTTTCCTCAGTGGGATTATCATTTATGGGGTCTTTAGCAGTTTCTGAGTTTGAATTCGAAGATGGGTCTAAATTTGATGCAAGAACAACAACAACGGGGCAAGACAAACGCTGGGAAGGAATCAACAAATCTGAAACAAACAGAGTAAAGCTCAACACAGATAAGAACAAGAACTTGCCTTTTTTACGATGATTTGCCATTCAAATTTCGATTTCTTCAGAGCAAGAAAATGGTCTTGAGATGGGTTGTGACTGTTACTTGGGACTTGGGAGCTAATATTTTTATTTTTATATTTTTTGGGGCTTTTTTTCTGAAAGGTGAGATCTGAAGGCCGAAGGGTGGGGAATGGGGATATAGGGTGGGATTTGTAATTTTGGGGAAAGTTATAGGGGCGGCTTTGGGGCGGATTTGTAGTTTCCGGAAAGTTTTGTGGGGGTAATGATGAAGTGTGGTCAGGACAAAGGGTGGAATAGGGATTTGGACGAAAACAACGGCGGTTTTGTCATAAAGATGGTTTTAATTACACTCAAGTACTCAACTGGTCTGTAATTTATTTATTTATTTATTTTTCAATTTGAATCGAGTTTGATTCAATCTTGAAATACAGTAATACTGATAGGATTTGAATATATGGCAAAAATATTAATTTTTTTGTATAAAAATATATAGTTGAAGAAAAAATATGTGTCCTCCATATATCATTTGAAAATATTACTAAAATTACTAAAATAATACAACCAATGATTCTTTTTAAGAGAAATAGAATAAGAATTCAGCTNTTTACTTTTGTCTATGTCTATTTTTAGTATTGTGACATCTAATATTATTTTATTTTAAACTTCAAAGTAAATTATTTACCCGTCATAATAATTCTAAGTTATAAAATATGTTTGGTAAATCTAGTTGAAAATATTGTTGATAGGATATGAGTTAATTTAAAACCTATGACCTATAGCTCAAAGTTTGTTAATATAATAAAAATATTAAAAAAATTAACCGATAAGTCAGCTGAAATAACATTTTAATTGAGTTTTTCATAAAAATACCTAGAAAAAATTATAAGATAAAGCTCTATTTAAAAAAAGCATTTTGTCATCTATCTCGACTTCAAACTAAAAGTGCATTCCAATCCGCAAAGTACACAAATTCAAATCATTTTTTTTTTTCTTTACAATAGCCTAGAAAACTCTCTCTATATATATATATAAGTACTAGTTGATGCATTTCATAAACATTTTATAAAACCTATTTTCATTTCCCTCCAAAAAGGGGTTACATTTTTCTTTTAATTAATTACTCACTAATCTGCTAAAACCGTTACACTTTAATATATATATTTTTATTATTTATTTTTTGGATCAGTTACTTAATTAATTCTAAATTTTGGTAGCAAAATATTCAAATGTGTAACCTCTAATGTTGGAACTTAAAGTTGATTGACACATTCAGAGCTGTAACCGCTATATTTGGTTGAAAAAATATGATTGACACATTGATATAGCCATATTATCATACACTGGCCCAAGGGCGTTTTACTCGACCGGACAAACGGCTAGATCGGCCGTTCATCAACATGTCCCAGTCAACACAATTAGATCAACCTCTGCAATGACGATTCCTCGTCAATATACTTAAGTCTACTTACACAAAGTCGATTTCCTCGCAAAACTCTCCGAAGGAAGGGCGAAACCCATAAGTCGACTCCCCGAGGTCCACTTCCTGCAGTCGACTCCAGAAATCGACCTCCGCTCAAAAATAGCCATGCGTAGCCTCCGAATCCTCGTAGGATCATAAGTCGACCCCATAACTCTCGAGATCGAATCTCCGTGTCTCGAGAACGAAGACGTGGTGACGATTCAGCATACTTGTGGTACACTTAAAGCTCTACATTCTGCAAGAGATAAAGGGGAATCTTGTGATGACTCAGCAGCAAAAGGAGACGAACCGACCGGGGCACTTTGGACCTTTCGCATAGGTCAGCCAGAGCATTTTGGGGTACTCCAAGTAAGTGTTTTCTCCTATATAAAGGAGGTGAGGTAAACTTAAACCCTAACTCTCATTCATTCTCCATTCTCCCTAATAGCTGTTGCGCAGCCTCTCTTCATCTCTCTCATACTGACTTGAGCATCGGAGGCTCTATGCCGGAAACACCTCCGGCGTTGAATTTTTGCAGGTATTCTCGCGGTCTAGTAATGATTCAGAGGTGGTTCAAGCAGATCTGAGCTCAAATCCATTGGTTCTCTTCAGATCTAGAAGTAGATCCATCGCACATATATTTTTTTTTTCTAAAAATCAGAATCACCAATAACTTTTTTATTTATGTTAATTTTTTTAATATATGCTACAAATATATAAATTATTTTATTCATGTTACTAATGTAAACGTCGCATGGTTCGAAATAAAATTTAAATTTCAATTAATTTTGAATGATAAAAATAACTTAAGAAAAAGTAATAATTTTTATATGATAGAAGTGCATGTCTAATTAATAAATACAAATAAAAAAAACGTGTTTTATATTTGTGCAAATGCACATGATCAAATACTAGTAACTAAGAATTAGTTGATTTGATCACGAACATGTAATTATGTATTTATTTTCACACAAATTTTATGGAGTGGGTTGATGTCTTCTTTATGGAATGAATCCATAAATTGATGTAATAAATATTAATACATGTTTTATGTATATTTGTTTTAGAACACATATTTATATACTATTTCAGAGCACGTAACAAACCTGATGTATTTAAATACGTACACATTTATTAATCTCCTTGGATTGAGAAGAAACATTATAAACCGTTTCAAAAAAAATTCCAAGATAGATAAGCATTAACAATAATATCCGGCCAATAACTTATATAATCAGTCATAAAACGTCTCCAACATAAAATGATAAATCACACTTGGTATGTGACGATAATCGCATCTCACATCATAACATTATTGAACAAACATAATCTCATGATTTCATTGAACACCCATAATAATTGATAAAAAAAGTATCACATTAATTTATAACGGTACTGTTTACCAGAAAACCAAAAAAAAGTATTTCCCTTTTTAATCAATAAACCTTAACTATTGTGATAGTAGGACATTTCAAATCATATATACCAATATTGAATTTATTTTATTGTCCGCTTCTCAATTATAAACCCAACTACTTCCTAACTCAATCCTTATTACCAATTAATGTACCATAAAAGTATAAATGGAGTGACACAATTAGACATTTCTCAACATGATTAATTTGGCTCATTAATTATTAATACACAGCTATGTTTTTGTATCATTGCTAATTACACTTATTATTAATTATTAATACACAACTATGTTTTTGTATCATTAAGAGAAAAAAATGAGGTATATATCCATGGAATGATCTGAGATATCTTGTTTCGCTAGTTAGAAATTTTCACACAACACAAATGAATAAAGCAAAGCTACTTTAACATGTGCAAAAATAGGAATTGCTTATTTCGAAATTGATGTGACTTGCTGAACTACAAAACATTGGCACGTTTTTTTCGTTTTATTGAAGTCTAATAACTTCAAACTTGATATATATCTTGCATCTATTACAACTAGAAAGAATCTATTGGTCATCACAACTACTGGTACACCCAATCTGTGAATCTGACATTAAATTCTTTCTTAAAGTAAACTGATAAAAACTGCAAATAGATTAATAAGCAAGACCACTATCTAAAAAAAAATACAGAAAAAGTCACTAAAGCTACAAAGGCAGATTAGCATGCTCTTTCTATGTCTACTGTGTATATAATGAAACCAACCACATAAAGCTATGTACATGAGGCTCTGACTTGTCGATCTCTCATTGGCCGAAAAAAGAAAGATGGAAAGAAAAAGAAAATTCAAATTTTCACCTCACAGGCACAACTTTCTGCAGCTTTTCTTAACCTTCTTAATCGAAACAAATCGTCAATCCGGGATTATCCTTCGAGATTAATAATATCAAAAACCAAACGGAGATTTTCTTCGGCTTCCTCCTTCACCGTATTGATCGTTCCATTTCCTCAGCTCGTTCATACTGGCTGCATCGTACGCAACTGATGGCCCCACCTGAATAAAAAAAAAAAATCAACGTTAAATGGTTAAAACAATAAAGGAGAATTTCTATCTAAACTATATAGAGATTTTCGTGATTGGAAGATTCAAATGATGGAACTGTACTGATTATTCGCTTCTTACCTTTGCTTTAGAATGGATAAAATCATCTAGCTTGAGTGGTCTCAAGATTGGTACTCCGTCTATCGTGTCATCCTGTAAAAAGGACGATTTTATCCTCAGATGCTAAGTAAGATTTTTTCTGATTCGAATTAGATGTAACAAATTAGACCATGTGTTTTCAATACAACTGAAAAAGAAAAAAGAATATTAGTAAACCCTTCACTTTTTTTCAAGAGCTTTTTACTTTCTGTCTTGTTATAGGCATCAACTTTTACAGAAACACAAATAATAATAATTAAAATAATAAATAAACAAATAAATTGGATCAGTGGGATTTTCCTGCTCTAGAGGGTTGTTTTTACAAGTTCCCTCTCAAGTGTAAGAATATCTGCTTGTAATACTTAAAGCTCAATAAATGATTTAAGTTGAAATTGATGATTTGAAATTACGGTAAAATAATGCTAACGACAAGTAAATCATAGTTCGGACCTTGCTTTCTCCTTCCAGTAATTCTTGGACAGGTCTATATGCTGCAGCAATGCAAAGGTTCTGCAGGAAAAGAAAATTAATAATAATAAATAAATAAATAAATAAATATAATAAAAGTTCAAGATATTGAACAGAGATCATTCTATCCCTCCACATGTGAATTACAAAAGCATCGAACCTTTAGATCACTCCCTGAATAACCTTCAGTGGCATTCGCAAGTTGATCAAATGGAAACCCTGATTCCAGATTTTCTCGATCTAATATTATCTTGAGTATTTTCAGACGATTTTGAGCATCCGGGAGGTCCACGTAAATCCTAACACCAATAGAACAATTTTCAGAGCTCCAGCCGAGCATAAGCCAATCTTCCNTAAATATATATATATATATATATATTTTCCTCAATCTGCCCATAATTTTTGAAATTTACCTTCTCGGCAGACGGCGAATGACAGCATCATCAAGATCAAATGGCCTGTTTGTAGCACCAAGGATAAGAATCCTTTGGCTATCTTTCGACCTCAAGCCATCCCAAGCCGCCATAAACTCATTACGCATTCTTCTAGTTGCTTCATGCTCGAAAGATCCACCACGAGCACCTAACAAGCTGTCCACCTGCATTCAGAGGCATTTCATATCAAAAAATAGAAACAAAGCCAAATCAAGAGTCTCATACAAAACAAAACTAATTTTTTTTTTTTTTTTTCTTTTTGTCAAGCCCCTCGATGACTTGTAACTCACAACACAAGAAGCAAGTGCTCCAATAAACACACAGACTAACCACGAAATACCGTCATTCAACTATCTACACTCTTTGGAAGCCATGACTAGAATCAAATATAAGCATAAAGAAGGATACAATATTTAAATAATATTCTTTTAAGTACATATCTGGAGGCAAAGACAATGAAGGGGGACGAGTCTCACCTCATCCACGAAAATAATTACAGGAGCTAGCTTGCTAGCAAATGAGAAGAGTGCTCTTGTGAGTTTTTCAGCGTCCCCAAACCACTGCATCAAAGAGTGCAGGCAAAGAAAAAGTGTTACTTAATGTTACTATTGAAATAGTGGAAGCCTCTAAGTAAAAAACAGAGAGGATTTTTGTACAGTGGAAATATGTATCAACCCTATGTATGCTTTCCTTTATCTGTTAAGTTACTTTCCCTGTATTCATTTAGAATTCATTTAAAGGTGTGATTGGATATAAACTTAACTAAAAAAACTAATCAAAACTCAAATTTTACTCAACTATAACCCAACCCCACTATCTTCAATATTATCAATATAATTAAATAATATTAATCAACCATCCTTACACATCACATCAACTTCAATTCACTATTCATTCACTCACATAATTTGAACTTACCATCACTTCCAATCATTTTTCTCCTACTTTTACATCAAATCAACTTTAATAATTATTTTAAATATTATTTTAATACAAACTCAAAATCCCACTCAAACCTAACTCAACCACTTTTTCAAAATTAACTATGGTTAACAAAAAAACCAATCAAATCCATATCCAATCACACCCTTAGGATATTACCAAAATATTACGAAATTATGGATTCAAATTCTCATAGTATACAGAACTTCCTTTCAGAAGCAATCTTATCCATCTTCTTCTCTTTATATTTCTCCATACATAAAACTACTAAGCACCACTACTATGCAGTTGTTGCGTATCTTCAAAATCATAAACCAGTTCATGATCAACATTTTACCAAGGAACCAAACCACAAACGAGGATGCATCATATAACATTGCCTAAATCAGAACACATGCCATGAAAATTTCACTTTTCAAAACCACTGGCACTTTCCATTCCATTTAAGCAAACTATCTGTCAATTTTTTACTTTTCGGTAGTGAATCATATCAAAGCTAAGAAGGCTCCCCTCTAAACATCATTGGAGGCAATAAAACCTTAAAAACGCATGACTTGAGTCACTCCAAATAAGAAAATTATATTGGCAACGTTAGAAATGCCCAAAAGACAATGATTATACTTGCCTTAGATGTGAGTGTTGAACCAGTAATGCTGATGAAATTAGCCCCAGCTTCTGTTGCAAGCGCCTTGGCAAGAAGTGTTTTTCCGGTTCCAGGGGGACCAAAAAGCAATATCCCCTTGCAAGGCTGGCAAGTTGATACACAAGTGAAAAAATCTGCAGAAAAAAAAAATGCACATGCAATGTACAAAACATTTGGTTACCCGCAGCAAATTTCCATGCGAGAATAGCTCGGGCCTCCGCATGGGGAGAATCACGAGTTCATTAAGTGCTTTCTTCACGTCTTCAAGGGCACCAACATCATCAAATTTCACACCAATCTCACCAGGAGGAACTACGGCTGATACGAAGTTGGTCTCGTACTCATCCTTAGCAAGACTCTGCAAATGAGTAGGTTACATTTAGTATGACGGATAACTGCAGATGCACCCTCGAAATTTAAAATGAAAAAATACTCGAGCTTTGATTCAGTGTTAAAACTATGGGGCTACTGTGAACTTTTTGTATATGTATGGGACTATTTTCAGCTTTGTTGTGAGTATAAATTGAAACACTAAAATCTAAGGGGTATAACCAATATTAACCATAAACGATGAAAAAAGTGTGTGCCTTGTAGTAAAAGAAGAAAACAAATAAATAACCTTTAGTTTTTGTGAAGGCTTCCTGGAAGCTGTTTCCTGCTCCTTTAACCTCAAAATTGCAAGTTCAAGGCTGCACATGATGATCAGAGTAAAATTAGCTGGGAGATAAAATCAGATTCTCATACAACAAATCCAGATATATTTACCTCCCACGGGGAAGCTGCAGTCGATCCCCCTTAACAGAAGGAAGAAGACAGGAGGATAGGTAATGACTTTTGGCCCAGCCAACAACCTTCTCTGATTCTATAATCAGCAAAACATGAAATTACAAGATCATACACACAAAATATTCTGAAATGTTCGATTAGAGAATATTTTCCATCCATTTGTGAGATAAATAATGATTAAACAATGGGGTTCAGTGAAATGCAAGCACCCTAGAAAAGAAATTGTACTGCCCCCATTTTCGCCACAAGAAGCCGCTAATACTTAGCTGCTGTATTGGGATATTAATATTAAAAGAAATGAATAATCATTTGGTAGAATATACACGTGTGTATTGTGTTTCAGCATAGTTTTTGCATTTACACAAGGTTGTTCAGATGAGTATTCTTACTCTCTTTCGTCAATATAACACCATCAGTATTCAAATGCAACAAGTCCATGCATGACAAATCATGTTCCTCAAGAACCTGAAATGGAAAGATTTTCTCAGGCCTTTATAACAGAACGAGCGAGAGAGAGAGAAGAATACAACATATACATCTGTTCCTCGAGAAAATCAACGCACCAAACTCACTATAAACTGCTTCCTTGGCAGAAATGTGTGAGAATTAATAAAAACAAACAAATACCAACATAAGCCAAAACTTGTAGAAGTACCTTATGAATTTCACTTAAGTTGCTTCGGGATATCACTATTCTCCTGTCTTCTTCAATTTGCTTATTGAATATCCTCAACTGATCTTCCTCCTGCAACCGAAGTAAGATTTCTGACTCACCACGATATGCTAAATTATCACAGAATCTTTGAGATTAAAAAAAAAAAAAAAAAAAATAAGCATTGAGTGCTCTTCGTGATTTCCACTTGTGCATTTATATCAGATTACTACTTCTACACTATTTCAGGTTGCCGAGCATTTCAGATGGCAAATGGGTTCAAGAATCAAGACTGATGGTCATCGTGTTTAGGAAAAAATCAGGCATCAGAATATTCAGTCCATGAAAAGAGATGTCGGGCTTGTCGTAAATATGACCCAACAGATTGAAATCAGAGTAAGAGATTAACCATTAGAAGGATTGCTTTTCACAACTGTATATAGCTTATATATGTCATCCTCATCCGATCGTTTGTTAGGTTTTAATCCTTCCGTAAGTGTCTTCAGAGAAAGAGGCTGAAAACGCAATATCCTCATGTTATCTCAAGAATGCTGTAGTCCTCTACTGAAGCAAGGCAGACTATTGTGTCGAAACAATTTATAAATATAATAAGCCCACACATATGATCTGAATTGTGCGGAACAACATTTTTCATCCAAATAACTAGACAACTGGAGTTAGTGGAGCCCCTTGATTTATTATCAGGTAGCAGACAGCGGTAAAAGAACATGCAAATTACACACCAATGTCTTTTGTTTGTATCTTGTGTGACAATAACTAACTTAAATATGCATCTATCTCTTTGGAAATGTCAACAGGATTTTATTGTGGAAATGAACAGTATATCTGGAGGTATTTTTTTCTGTCCCACGTTAAATCTGATTATTTTATTTTGGATCACTAACAATGTCATGATGCACCCATGACTGAAAAGTGCTGGCAGAATGATTTTCGGATACCTGAAATTCCCTAACAAATTAGTGAGGTATTCTACCTCGTTTAGCAGCTGTAAAATTGAGCCATACTTAATATCATGCACACTAAGATATGTGTCTTTGCAGAAACATCAGCAGAAAATACACGGCCTAAATTGGAGCTTATTCCGTAAAACTATATGCATTTTGACAGACTAGCATGCCAAAGAATGATATCAGAAGTAATCAAATATAGATGAAAATCAAAATAGCCTCAGAGCACATGAGCATTACCAGCTTTGCGAGACGGCCCAAATTGGGAAGTATCATTGTCTGCTGAGAACCAAAAGCAAATGTTACAAATAAAGATATCATCTCGTGTTGAGTATGGAAGCTACTGAACGCATACTTCTGATTACAGATTTAAGGCATAGAGGAGATCAAAATTAGGGCAGGTTCTGATGAACTTGAACTTACAAATTTCTCCTTTTCTTTTGACCCACTTTCCACTTTATTTTGTCCACAGATCAAAACAACCGGTCCTGATAATCGGTCAAACATCTCTTGAACCTTGTCGATGAACTCTTTTCTATTTGACTTTGAAACTGCCCTCAAAAACCATAGAGAAGAGTCTGGAAAATAGACCACAAGTGGTTGTTGAGACTCCAAAATCTGCAGCCATCAATGGAAAAATGTAAAACAACAGAAATCATATGAGTAGATGCATTACAGTCATGTCCAATTATTTGAAACCATTACCTCACACAGAACTTCCATTGCAACATAAAAGTCGTGAGTTTGAGCATCAAGATCATGCTCTATATCCTTCGCTGCAAATGGTAAATAACAGAAAAGTAACTGCCCGTACTATCATTGTTCAGGAATCTATCAAGCCTTTGCACACAATGTTTTGGCACAAACATGAAATACAGCATAATCTTAAAACAAGAATAGCAAATAACATTTCCAAAAGCTCTTTAATGTTAACACTCCAGGTTATAACAACAGCCTCCGATAAGGATAAAAAACAGGTCACCCAAAAATGTAATGACAATAAGTACCCCTTTTTCACACACATGACTAAAACGGGCTCCACAAAAGTACAAGACAGGATTTTAGAAATGACCAGTCAGAATGAAGATATGTAGCATGGAAAGACATTCAGCGTAAAATGAAATATTAAAAACACAATGCACTCAGATTGACAGATTCCTGCTATAGTTGCAGTTGTTTACGAGTACTATATACCATTAAGCCAACAAATAGATGGTTTTGTAGCAGTTTCGGCATTTTTCTCATCCTTTACTTCCTCTGTCTTGCTACTAATGTCAAAAATAACAGCTACTTGGTCTCCATTCACTTCATAGACCTCCCCCCGTTGCCCGCTGGACAAAGTCCTGAAAAATATAGTATTTGTAAATTAACAAGTTCACAATCTAAAACAAGTGCAAGCACTAATTGGATACATAACAAATGTACGAATGCACCAAATATGGTGAACAAGAACGCACATTTTCAATCAACAAAAAACATTCAGAGACTATAAGCAGTTGAAGAATTCCAAAAGATATCTTAACTAAACCAAACAAAGAAACATGGTGAAGAAAGCTTGCTCAAAGAAGCCAGCATTAAGCAAACCACAAAAAAAAGTACACTCCATGCTCGTTATATGTGGGTTAGTTCTATGTTTATCAATATGCTATCTACACGTTCATTATGACATCATACTGTAAGACGCAGAAAAAAAATTGAAGCCCGCAAAAAATAGAACTTAGCTTCACTACATGCATCTCAACAACTTACCAACCCACCTGCCACGAATTACAGTATAAACATTCTTTGCACCATCAGATGTCGGTATCTTCCCCAATACAATCCTGTGATGAATGGCATATGTCAATGATCAGGTGCAGACACAAGCTCAAAGATCATGGCCAATGTGTCCTTCTGAAGAAGTTATGAACATAAACGAGTGTCGAAACCGCAACCTCAATCTCAAACCAACCACCCCCAACTCTCACAACCAAAAGGGTGAAAAAAAAGATCGGGATTTGTTAAATTTCTCTGTGCAGTTTGAATCTGGATCCTAGAATAATGTTCGGGAAGATGAAAAGAAAGAAACATGTCCCCAATGCCTAATCCCCATGAGACAAGCTTTATTGCAAGATATTAAGGGGGCGATTGGATATAAATTGAATAGTAAAAAATCCAATCAAAATTCAAATTTAACTCAACTTTAACTCAATCCCACTATCTTCAATATTACCAATATAATTAAATAATATCAACCAATAATTCTTACACATCAAATCAACTTTAATTCACTATTCATCCACTCACATAATTTTAACTAACCATCACTTCCAATCATTTTTCTCCTACTTTACATCAAATCAACTTTAATTATTTTATTTAAATATTATTTTAATATATCCACTAACAACTAACAATACCACTTTTTTCCAAAATTAACTATAGTTAAAAACAAACCAAATAAAAACTAGTTGAATCCATAAACAATCACCCCCTAAAGCATTTACAGTGTAGATTTCTGACAATAGTACTCCTTTAAGCGGCACTCAGTATCATATGAAATGGAAAAGGAAAAAGAAGAAGTAAACAAATGAATAATTATAGTAATGCATGGAAAGCATATCATGTGGAAAACCCTAGTGCAGCAACTTACACGATCAAAATAAATAAATAAAAAAAAAAAGCCTCCATATCATTCTATATGCAGGACATGCAGGCATAAGATGCTTAAGCTACAAAGAATACGTTGTTTGACTACATAAATAATAACTTCTATGTCTGGTGGATAAAACAAATTATGGAGGTAGTCAGGCATAGTTCCCTCTCCATCTTTCTTGGAGAGGATAACTGACAAGGCATTTCCCCTTTCAAATTACAGCCTCTGACCGACAGTAAATACACCTAGTTTTCGCAAGCATTTCATTTGTACTTCAAAATCCGCATCCCCCATTATCAGCATCTCCTATCAACTCAAGAGGAAGCCTAACCCACCACGTAGTTAAAGGAAATTGGCAAATGACCAACAAAAAGCTTAATGGTTTCTTATAGATGGTCATAGGATAGTCAATATTGTGGGGTGTAAACCTGCAATCTCATCTTCAAAATTCCAGTCTACTTTATCTTATCTAATTACTTCGATTTATTCATCACTAAACCCAATTTTCTCCATCAAATCTATAGGGGATAGCAATCAGCAATAAAAAAAATCAGAATTTCATATGAGAACACAGGCTTGGGTAAATCAAACTGCATGGTCAATGCAAAGTTAATCATATTAGTAACTGCGAGAAGGAACCTCGACAAAACGTAATCAGACAATGAAGTTCTCAAAAGAATATGTGAACAAGCAAATAATGTGTTACACCACACAGATTGGCATATATTGTATAGACAAACTAAATTATTCCAAGATCCACCTCAATAGTCAGTTACAATTGCAGGGCACTCTCTCAATTTCTTTCAAGAAAACACACCATGTAAAACATAATCATTGACAATGCTCGTACAAGAAGTATTTCTGAAAAGAGAAGACAATAGGATTGTTCAGCAACACGTGATATATGAAGAAAGTTACCTGTTATTCGCTTCAATGCAAACGGAAGGCCCAATGTACTTCACTCGATCCCCTGTAACAGATATATAATATTAATCAACTAAATACATAATTGAAAAGCTAATCTAACAAGATAGTTAATAGGAATAAGACACTGTGAGAAAATAAAAGACACCTTCCATTCAGTAGTATCACCATGTTACAACAAGCAAGGTTGGAAAACTCGCTAGACGTTAGCCGGGCAGTAAAGGGCATCCTAGAGCCTATGCAGGCACCAAGCTTGGCACCAAATTATCTTTTTTATTTATTAATTAGATAGGGCCATTTTGGTTTAAATTCCATCATTCAGGACCGAACAAGAAATGAAATGTGGCGCACTTTATATCATACAGTTGTTTTCAAGCAGCGCTCATTACCTCTCTTTAGTGGAAGGTTAGCTTTCTCGGATGGCTCCTCAGTTTCTGCTTTTGACGATGTGGACGAGCTTTCAGTGTCTCCAGAAACACTCTGCCATACAGCATCAAATCATTAGAATGCATATCTACTTCCTGCCACAATATAGTCCTTTGATCCCTAAAAACCATGACAAATATGTGTGCATTTAAAAATAACTAAGTTTCAGCAACATCAGGTAATTAAAGAGAATTTCTTACTTCTTCTCTATTAACATATGAATAAAGTTGATAAGTATCTTAAGACAGGCCACAAAGAATATCTCTTAATGCATGTGCGAGGAATATATAGATCAGCTCACAGGCTCGTAATAGTTTCAGCTTTGGGTGAATCATGAGAAATACTTTGCACTTATGCCTTCTGTTCATTCTCCTTACGAGCAGAATAAGTTACTTTTTTATACATTGCAAAAACTATTACCTTCTCAAACTCTTCAATGTTGCATGGTATCAGCTTCCTCAGATCTTCAACTGAGGCATTAATATCAACTTCATCATCACTACCTTCAGCTTTAGCCTCACCACTGCTGGTATAATCTTCCTCATTACTTGCATCATTTTCCTCCTCAGTTTCAGACTCCGATGCACACTCAGAGTTGTCCCCATCTGATTCACTTTCATCTTCACCAATATCCTGGACAAATCAACCACGTAAGGAATTGAAAGAATTACTTATAAGATGAGAGAACACGTTTTTGTCCAGACCATTCTTATCACTGTAAAACAAAAGGAATTATAAAGATCAATGATTTCAATAAACAGTAATGTATAAAAGGAGGAAGCGGGCATCATGGAAAGGATTTACACAAGAATGATTCAAGAAAGGAAGCCAAAAATGCACAAATCTTTCAGACAGAAGAGAGGCAGACCCCACCAGGTGGGTCGGTGGGGGATATTAAAGTTGTGAACTTACACAAGAAGCTAAAATGTTGCCATCAAGCACCAAAAGGGGAACTTGTAAATCTCGAGCAAGTGCTCTGACCAATCTTTCCCGGTATAGCTCCGTTCCTTCAAACCAAGTATTTACTCATAACAAATAAGATGGAGATAAGGGAAATATAAATACACGAGTATACAAGAACATGCACTTTATTTGTTGTGTTTATAATATTATTGCCAACAATTTATGATGATAAGGAAAATCAAAGTAAGGTCGAAAAAAAAAAAAAAACCTGGAATGCTCTGGAGCAGAATCCTCCCACTCGAAGAAGTCAAACGGCCTCCATAATCTGTTGTAAACTTCTTATGTTTTAAATGGGAGGCTGTACATTCCACCAGAAGGTTCTTGGTGTTCTCACTGCAAGAATAATTACTCACAGTCCAGGTAAAAATATCAAATGGAATAAAAGCAGATTCAAATTTATGATAAGAGCACTTACTGAAGATAATAAGGAAAAGTATCCCACGAGACGGTTATTTTCTCCCAATGAACAATCCTTCGCAAAAACTCATTTCTAAATCTTTCCCGACGAGTTAGAAAGGGGGACTCCTTTTTCTTGTTCTCCATAGCAAGCTTTTCATTTTTTAGCCAATCCAGTTGATCTTGCTTCCCTAGTCGGGCATGCGCATCACGGTGCCACGCACTATCGGCAGTATTTTTAGTACGGATATTTGCCTTTTCACAATCGGCAACAGCTTTGCTGTCCACGTGCTTATCCTCACTTGTGTTCCTTCCATCACCTTCCGAACTATAAAATCTTGGTGGGAAGTTTCTCAAGTTAACATCCGACCTCCAATGCAATTTTGTGCATTTCCTCCGGGAAGCTAGTCCAAACAAACTTGAAGTATTTGATAGATATCTCCGGGTCAAACTGTTCGTACTTGATAAAGGGCTCAGGCATTGTCCCACGGAGAAATCACCAAAGTTAGAACTGAAATAATATTTGCTTTGCTGAAGCAAGTAATTCCATCTTTGGTTTTTTTGCTTTATCGTCCTTGCATACATTGGAACTTATTCAGTGGAAAGGTATAGACCTGCCGCAAAAGGAGTTAAAATTATATTACTTACATCACCCACAAGAATGAGATTTTTAAATGCAAATACATTTATGCTATTCCAGCATCAAAGGAGATGCATTAACTTAAAGCTGGAGAAATCACGCCAAACTCATTTTTTTTTTAGTTTTTTAACGTCATTTTCATTTTTATCTGTAAAACTTTCGAACGGAACTTGGCTCAATCTGCGATGAACATAGAAGTCTGCTTCTGATAACAGTGCAGGCCGAAAGATTCAATTCTCCATTTAGTAACAAATGGCAGATAGGGCTTTAAAATAAAAATACAAAATAATAATTCGAAAACTAACAGAAGTCCGATAAATAAAAGTGCCAATTCAGCTAAATATGAACACCAAAGCTCAAGCAGTAATGTCTTTGAATGTCACACAATAATCAACAAGCTGAAATCTTTCTTCATAAACTAGCTGAAAATACGCATAAGATTCATGTTATACTATAAAATATTAAAATCATAAAACACAAACAAGCAAAACGCCATTTCTCCAAACAAAAAAACAAAACCAATAAACTGCAATCTAGTATTATTTATTCACACATTACTTATGCTTTTCTTTCAAAATGAGGAAGGCCACCCATACCTACTTCAGTCGAATATGCGAGAATGAAACTGACGGCACAAACTATTAATAAGGAGTGAAAAAACAAAGGAAAGCAAAGCAAAGAAAACAAGCTGACCTTCTTCGCCTTGAATTTACCGATTATACTTAAAAAACAAAAGGGTAACAACCCAATTGGCAAACAAGAGATGCTGAGCAAAACGAATGAATGAGATGGAAAAAGGAGAAGGGCGGGCGCCCGTTAATCGGGGTTGCGATAGAGAAGGTGAGGATGCGTAGCGTTTTCACTGTTTCCTTTCTTGTTTTTCCTTTTTTTCTTATTTAGCTTCCCCTTAGTATATGGGAAGTATTATTTATTGAAAATGTTAATTAGTGGGATAAAAACTTTTTGTCATCAAATTATGCGAAATTTGCAATTTATTATATACACATTTTTTATCATGAAAATTGAAGGATTAAATGTCAATATACAAATTTGCCCTCATTCTTTTGTTGTTCTTTTGTGATAATCTAGGTTGAGAATACTTCATTTTACTTGAGTTGCTTGATTTTTAATGGTTAATTGATTGATCACGTTTATTCTATTGTTACGCAAAATTATGTAAAATAAATATCTAGACGTGTAGGTAGTCGAGTCTTTTTAATCGGATAAATAATTGTCGGTAGTTGCATTTGGAACTAGCAACGATTACCATCGACTCCCTAACTTCTCATTGTTATTTACTCATTTTATGATTTTTGGTAGTTTTAGATAATTCACCTACTCCTTTTTGTGGTTAAAGTGTTTATGACTTTATTTTCTTTTCCTGTGTGATTGACGCGATTCTAAATTCCGAATCGCTCTTCTCGAGAAATCGACTCGAGGTCGAAAAACATTCTTTGATAAAAATATAATTTGCTACAACAAATTTAGCATCATTAGCGGAGAAGGCAAGTAGGATATTTAATTTTTGTGTTAGTTTTTATTTTTGTTGTTTCTCCTTATTTTGTGATTTTTGTGCTTGTGTTATTTTCCTTGCGTCTTTTATTTTTCCCTTTATTTTTTTCTCTTGGTTTTCGTGGCTTTGTGTAGTTCTTTTGGGTCTTGTGTACAAAGCATTTGATCGAGGAGCTCAACGTACTCAAGTTACCCATTTGCATTCTCATACCCTCACTCTTGGAATAATGGGCCGAACTAAGATTTTGTGCACTTTGGCTAGACGTGTTTATACCATTACAAACAACAGTGAAGTCCATTCTCAGTTGAGCAATCATTGAGTCCCGTGAGGATTCTTCATAGTACAGTGCAAAGCTTGACTGAATTTTCGCTTTTCTGACATCCCAAACAACCCAGAACGAAGATATTGAGGCCCAACTGGATAATCTAGCAGAGAAATATAGGTCATTGACACATGAAACGCCATGTCAATAGAAAAATGTCATGTCAACGGCATGTCAGCACAAAAAACTCGAATTGGGCCTTGTAATTCGAATTGCAAAAGATAGTCAAAGTGGTGTATCAAATTGTTAAATTATAAAGATGGTGTAAAAACATAAAAGGTGATGTATTAATATGCAATTTTGCAAATAGAAAATGCAGAGTNTGGACGGTGCTGTCTCCCAAATGCCGCAACGGTGGACTCTTGCCATGACTCATCTGAACTGTTCACTGTCTCGACCTTCCCGCCTCTTCTTCTCTACCTAGAAAAGCCCTAGCGTCCACACTCCATTTGAACACCGCTTAAAAGCTCCGTACATCTTCATCTTCACTTCGAAAGGACGCCGCTAAAGGATACTCCGATGGCCTCGAAAGTGGCTTCAAGAGACATTCAGGATATCATCTCCAAGCTCTCATCTGACAAGGCCAAAATTCGAGATGTAAATATCTAATCTAAAACGTAATGTGCGTTATCTAATTTAGGCGCGATCGTTTGTTTGTTTAGAAATGGTCTGGAGAGTTGGAAATCAGGTGAATACTGTAATTTGTAAACTAGCTGGAATGACTGTGTCCCCAGTTTGTTCACTGTTGTAGGATTTTTGATTGTGAAAGGTTAATTTTCAAATTTTCACGAGGAGATGGGTTTGCTGCGGCTTGTGAATTGATTCTATAGCCNGGTCCGGAAAGGAAAACAAACTATCGTTCATTCGGAAGCATGCAATTGGTTGAGGAATGGTTTGGAGAGTTGAAGTTCAATGAATACTGTAATCTGTTAACTAGTTGGATTGTTTTCTCAGCTTTTTCACTGTTGTATGCTTTTTGCTCGTGAAATGTCGATTATTCAATTGTTACGTGGAGATGGGTTTGTTGCGGCTCGCGAATTGCTTTTAGTTTGCATCCTTAATTTTTTTATTTTTTTTGGCTACTGTTTCTGTTGCTGAGGTCTGGAAAGGAAATCAAACTATTGTTCATTTTGAAGTATGTAATTAGTTGAGGAATGGGTGTAGGTGAAATGCCTGTTTTGTTGAGATGGTTTTAGAGATAATGAAGCTTTTGAAATAATAAAGTAATGGTATTTCAATTGATTGGGTTTTTTGAAGCTGTCAGGAAAGGTAAGTAGCTTTGTAGTTTCTACATTCATTGTTTGTAAAAAATAGTCGAACAAAGTTAATGTAAATTTAATTCAGAACGTACTCTGGTTCTTCTCTTTCAACTTCAAATGTTAAGATAGATGTGTGTCTATTCCAATGTTATCTTGTATTACAGTAGCTGCAGTTTGCTCCCACTGTATATATATTTATATTCTTATCCCCTGTTATTCTGGGTGACTCTAGGAAGGGATGAAATTGTTGAATACATGGCTGGAAGGCGAGCGATCAATTGGATTTTGTAGATATTTATCTGAGAAATCTTCAACGATCAAGCCCAATGAAATTCCACACTGTAAGCATATTTCAGAATCAACAATTTAAAGTTTTTTAAGTTGCTGGGCCTTAATGCAGCCTTTGATTCTCATGCAGCTGAGACATGGCCATTTCTTGTCAAAACTTTGATACAATGTGTGTCGCTGGAGATCTCCTCAAGCAAGAAGCGATTGCCAAAGTTAAATTTTGCTAAGACGCTACGGATTGTCGTTCAACGAGCTGAGGATGATAGATTTTTCGGTTAGTGCTTTGCATGATATACTCGAGTGGCAATGTGACATTTTATTCCATTTCATAAGTGGTGGCATTTCTTGAAGTGGAAGTTGACTTATGCTGACCTTTGATATGTTCAGAATTGTTTAGGAGATGTTGGAAATTGATTAAGTGAAAGGCTTTATGCATAGCTGCCATTTATATGTAAAACAGTGAAAGAAAACGAGCAATGATTATGACCAGAAGATATTTGTAGTTTTGCTCATTATCCTTTTGTGATCTTGACTCCTGGTCCCTGAACTAATGGTTGTAAACTTGTACTGCGACAAGATTAACTTGACTTGAAATCTGGGTTTCTAGAAACAATTTTTGCCTCAGAAGTGTCTAGAATCAAAATCAATCACATTGGATCTGATTATTTGCAATGTACCAGTTCCAGGGTTGCAACACATCTTATTTATGTAAATTTATTGAGGCCTCCAGGCCTTTTGCTTTGTAATATATTCACAAGTCTATTAGAAGTTTTCTGGGTAATTCATCTTTGGGCGTAGATCAAATGACTGGACACATTCATATATTTGTTTTCTCCACCTAATATGGCAAGAGCTCCTTCGACATGTTTAATATTGTTAGTATGCCTGACAAGGTTATTTGAGCTCAGAGCACATATTCATGTTCACGAGAAGAATAATGAATAGGATATTGCTAAAGAGAGCAGCAACATGTCATGATGAAAAGTACAAGACTGCTTTAAATCTAGTCTACAGCTTCCTAATGTTCGATATGTGGAAATAATATTCTCTTTGGTTACATATTATATGGCAGCGTAAGGCCTGTCTAGCCGTCTTTGAAATGTATTGCTACCGAATTCTCTAGATTGACATTTCTTGATCAAGATTTTGAGTCATGCTTTCCGGCTTCTGCTCATTCTTAGCCACACTTTTTGAATGCGATTGTCAAATGTGCCTTAGTCATTCTTATTTTTTCCTTTTCTCCCCCAAATGAATATACATCTATAGGTAGCTTAGTTGTATGGTTGAGGTTTCATATATATCCCAGAATATGGTAAGCTACACTTATATGTCTGGACTTTCAGAGTTATAGTTTTCTAAAGCATTAAAGATAATTTTCGTATATGCTCGTCAAGTTGTGTCATTGACATTGATCACGTCCCCATCAACCATTTAATTTCTTGTTATTCTTGTCTATTTGCAGAGAAAAGTATGTTTCTGTTACCCGTGGCCAGAGTACTATTCAATCATGTGTGGGATGTTCTCAAGGATGTGCCGAGCTTTCAATCGGAGTATGGTGTTATTCTCCGGCATCTTTTGGCAGCTGCAGATTATAGATTTCACATTCGTAAACGAGTATATTCTAGTGAGCTCACACGTGTCTTGGAATTTATATTATTTATGTGCCTCTTTGAGTTGTTGTCTTTACTGAAATATCGCAATGATTTTCAATGCAATTAGATCTTGTTCTTCTATTCATGGAGAAGGTTGAAGTTAGCTTGAGTACAGAAAACATTAGCCAATTAAACCCTAAAGAGGAGGTTTTCCGCTATACCTTGACACTCCAGTCACTTCTTGAAAACCCGCCTGGAGATATTCCGGATGAGCTCCGCGACGACATAATTAAGGGTTTTATTGGAATTTTTTCTCAAGTTAGGTAGGATGATGAGGTTCTATTTTTGTTGTTTACAATGTAGTGGCAGTTGAGAGTGCTATCAGCTATGTCAATTATGTCCTTTGACTTGCTCTTTTGGGTATCAGGGATGAAGGAAAAGTTTCACGGAAGCTTGTTGAGTGCATCAATACCTATTTGTCAAAGGATGGCACGAATTTGGGTTGCAAATCCCTGGAAATTCATGATGCTGTACATAAATTTGTGTTTCGTTGCTGGTTTGCAACTCATGATCGGAGCCTAAAGGTCACTTACGTCTATTCAGTACTTTTATCAGGTCACACTATCAATATTTTGCTCTTACGGTCTTACCTCTTGTATTGTTACTGCTTTAACAGGATACATTTATTTGCTACGCAAAGTTGCAATTAAGTGTAACTAGAGGGGTCATTGATGGTACTGCCATACTTGAACAATTTCTGGATGTGGTTAGCAAGGAGCTTGATCAAATGAGTGTTTTCAGCACCAACATACCAAGGTTATAATTGTTTCACCATGTCTCTGATTTCTCAGAATGATTTCCTTTTCTGATTTAGCAATATTGCATCAAGGAGTGATTCAAGCAGAGATGAAAAATGTGGAGTTTTGACGAGCTCACAGAACAGTGTGGTTGAGCTTGCAGCCCTTGTCTTTTGCAGGGTACGTACACGTACAGCACATAATTTACTGTGGCCACCCAAAGGCATTTCTCTCCCTTATTTCATGTGCAGCTACTGTCTTTCAAATGGTCTGCATATGATAGAAAAGTATGAAGTTATCTATATATAAGCATGGTGATTGTTTTAATAATAATGGGAAAGTATGAAGATGACCTTCTTTAAAAAGAAAAAAACACAGCATGTGTAAACAACCCTTCTTTTAAACCAAATGTTACAAAATGTTTCTGAAAATTTGTTTCGAAGAATGCTTAAAACAACAACAACATAGCCTTTTAGTTCCAAACAAGTTGGGGTGAAGAATTCTTAAAACATGCTTCTAAAAAATGTAGTTGCAAACTCTTTCCATATCTGAAAACCTTATTTTGCTATGTGGATTCAATGATATGGATTGTATCATGCTATCTTTGACAAAGGCAATATTTTCATTTGTTCATAGATGTACATGTGTTCTCCATTAGTATTTTGCCAATTCCTTTTAGGACTACCATTCCTCCTTCAATAAGAGTGAGTGCTTTCCTACTTTCTACACATTACATTAGGGTATCTAAGAGTCCTCTATATACATATCGAAACCATCTTAAGCCTTTTTCTATAGCTTTTCATGTAAGGTGCTAGACGCCCTTCACTGCGTAATAAATTTGCCACTTGTTTTATCTAATCCAATGTGCCTGCATATACATCTTATCATAATTTTTTGTACACGTTGATATTTAATCGCACAACATTCTTTTCCATGATCATTGCAGATTTTATCGGGTGGCTGTATTCCTTTTTTAGATTGCTAAAATTCTTATTTCTTATAAAAAATATATTGACATGACATACTTTTAAATAAATTTAATATAAATGTTGTATATACAGTATTTCAATATTGTTTCTTGAGAACATTCTTATTTTTATGTAGTGGGTGACTAAATCATCAACATGTAAACACTATAATTGCTGGAACATAGAGAAAACCTAAAACACCAAATCACCAATTATAGTTGTTATAGAGATAACTTGGAATTTCTAGAGAAAAGCAGAACAACACACACACATACATAAATATATATGTATATATGTACAACTATTGCAAGCACTCTGCTTTTCATAGTTTGGAAAATTAAAGTCCCTATTCCTGAACAAGTTTGAGAAAAAGTTTTAGTGGATGTTCTCAAACCAGTAGTTCTTTCAACAGGTGTGTACTAGTAAATCAAAAACACTGAGTGGTGATAAAAGAGCCAGACAGGAGCATACTGTGGTCCAGATAAAAGAGAGGCTTGTGGAGGGGAAATGGTCATGGTATGTTCAAGTAGATGCATGTGTCCTAACATGTATGTTCTATACTGTAGCTGTCACTTATGATGCCTAATAGCTGTAGGTATTTCAGTACTTGAACTTATACATATATATTGAGTGTGTTAATACAATACTAAAGTCGAAAATACTGGTACAACAAAATCAGAAATGATGAAAGACCAGAAAATAAACCCAAGAAAAACACGTGTATTGAATGGTCACATTCTGATGCAGAATCTCGGGTTAAAATTGACTTTTATTCATGAAACAGGCATGCCGCATTTTGTTGTCTTATCCGCAAGTATTCAACTCGTGTAAAGAGAGATCTCTTCATATATTGGTTTGAAAACATATCTGCAGTTTTTGAAAGGTAATCTTTGCTGGATTTGTTGTTTTTGTATTGCTTTTGCACCACCACCACCAACACTATCGTGCAAAATTGTTTATGTGGGTAGCAACCGAGTATCATTTTTTTTCTTTGTGATGCTTTTATTTTCTCAAGTCCAATATAGCATCTGATCTGTCTTGTTGTTTTCCTCTATTAGGCTTAATGATTTCATTTTCTCAAGACCAATGTGAAATCTTGTCTCCTTCTCCTTGGATCCAAATGATGTTTTCCTTTTACAACTCACATGTGTGTTTGCCTTTTCCAGAATAGCTAACAATGTGAATTTGGAGAATTCTTATGATGGTCTTTTGTGGACATTACGGTAAGTTGCTCTCATATATTTTTGTACATAGTATTGTCACTCCATTTTGTTTAAGGAGCTTGCAGAGTTTCTTGGCTGATATCATTTCTGATCGTTCTTTTCATATCATGCTCATATTTTAGCTTGGTTCATTTTCTTCGATACATGAAGTCACTGCATTTTTATCATTTTGTTTGTTTACGTTTCCATGTTAAGAGATTTTTAATCTAGTAAATTCCACTTGTAGGAGTTTGCTAAGACTTTCTTCATTGTTGCTTTTTACTGCTCCGAGTGTGGAATCCTCACTAAATTCTTCTAGCCACAAAACTGAGGTTTGGTAAATTACTCTTTGTATGGAAGTGATTCCACACACACACACGAACACAAACGCACACACACTGGTTAGTTGAGTTTATTATGCCCATTTTGTTATCATGAAAATTAATATGTTCAATATTGTAATTCAGTGTAGTACTATTTAAATCGGAAAGCTATATAGTATGGCATTATGTATACCATCTGTTCATCGGCAACAATGGGGATATTGTTTCTTTGCAATTGTTGCTTAGCCAAATATATAAACCGTATTAGAAAGTAGCAGTATGGTAATACTTCAACTGATTGATTTCATGAGCAGTTTCTTGCATGTTCTATAATTGTTTTAGCCTATGTTGAATTATCTTAGTGGCTCTGCTAATGATTCCACAGGTTGAGAAAGGTTGGCGTATAATTTGGAGCTGTCTCATCCGTTGTTTTCCCACTTTCATTAATGTAACCCCAATTGTAAGCATAGTTCTTGAAATCCTAACTGGATCTGTAAATCCTTCCCTTGGTATTGTAATTTGGAGCTGTCTCATTCCTTTTAAGTTGTTGAACCTGAAGTTATCTATTGTTGATCTTTTTCCCTACTTGATGATTGCAAAGACAGTCTAAACCTAGGCATTGTTCATTCTTCATCGGTTCTAATCCTGAAGTATCTTCAGTTAGCTTTCGCAGTAGTTCAGGCCTTGATAAATCCATTTGTAGCTCTTTGGCTAAACTTTTGAGATTTATGGGCACTTGAGAAACATCACTTTATGTATAATGACCAAGACACTTTCAAAATTTATACAAGTAAAGTCGAATATAGTGTACAAAGTGATTGATATTGGTACTTCCAAATTTAGTACATTTAAATTTATTGATGTAGCTACATATAAAACTGTGGAGCATAGAAATCTAGTGCTGTTTCTAAACTTGAGGAAAGTAAATTACGTACGGTTCTTATCTGAAGACTGATGAGGAATAATCATTGTGTTTTTGCTGTCAGTAACACTTGAGTAATTGAGTGAACGTAAAGAAAGAAATGGCTCTGTATGTTTCACTAGGTATGGTTGAATGATTTCAGAACTCTCAAACTGTGTTAAAATGGATAGTGTTATATGTGCCTGGTTTGAGATTCCCTATCCTAAAAATTAGGAATCTATAAAGCACGGAGTTTCAGAATATTTTTATAGACTTCCTCTGGAAACTTAGAATATAAAGATCTTACCATAGTTATTTGCATTTCTACCTTATTCAGGTGGATGCTGCTATGATGCTCCTTTGCAATATCATGTTGAGTGTAAGATCATCATCACTGGAGATTTAAGTTTCTTTCCCTGTGATGAATTTTCTTTTGCTAAACAGTGGGTTTACTGCTTTTACTTTCAATGACCCAGATTTTTTGTCCTGTTTTCCAGGATACAAAAGATATATATGTTGTTCCACATGAGATGTGGGACCTTCGTGTATTTAAACACTTGCCTTCCATGTGAGTTTTCTCATTTGAGAATCGATACATGTAACTGTATTGCTTCTCATGCTGCTGCTCATTGTCACATTTAGCTTTGCCCTGCTTCTTGTTTTCAGTCTTATGAAAGATGAGGTGTTAATTTCAGCTCTTGATCTGGGAGAAAATAATTTTTCTTCCTGTTCATTTTTTTGCTGTATCATGTTTTTATCTTCTCAAAACTAAAAAGAAAGATGCTTGGAGATATTTCTGATCATTCCATATTACGCTGGAAATGTTATTTCTGTTATTTACTGCAAGCGATTATGAGAGAAAGGCTGTTTGTTTTGGAAACAATGTTGTTAAATAGCGGCTATGGACCGGCCGTGGCGGATTTCTGCCCAAATGTGATGACAAATTTTTGAAGCATGATCTTTATGGCGGCTCCACAGGCCGCCATGGCGGGTTTTTTATGGCTAATTTTGGCTATCATTTCCGCCAGCTGCCATTGACAACATTGTCTGGAAGAAATTACTTGTAATGCCACAATGATTTGTTTGAATGTCTTGAAATTCAATATTTTTTTTTCCAAATTATTTTACGTTGTAGCTTGTTTAAATAACCGCTGTAACCTTTAAGAAGGCTGCTGTTTTATTTCTTTCTCCCCATGGTGATGGTGATGGTCCAGGCACGTGATATCCCTTTTGAAAGCTCATCTTCTGAGATCACTCCCTTGATATGAAACCATGTGGGTTTTCTTGAAAGAGGACCTTTTTTAAGCTAAAAGCAAAAATTGTTAAAACTATTGTTCACAATCATATAATGTTATGCCTATTTCTTAGTGTGCTGGCTCGTGTATCCCACAGTTCAGGTGTAGTACTAAATCAAAAATTTTCTTCATATGTGCGCGTGTGCTTGTTTCTCTTATTTTCTTTTTACACGCATAAATGTTCAGTGTCCGTAACTTGGTGTGATTACTTTTCCAGATTAAGCTACCTTTTCACATTCATTTCACCTAATTTATTGTTTAGTCGACTACTCTAATGTTCTAATATAGCTTTCGTGAAGAGAGATTGCCTTACCACTCTTTCTAACAGTTAACTTGAATACATGTTTCAGATCTGTTCTATGCTTTGCCTCATGCTACTTTTCCAGGAGAGCTTCGCAGGTAAGACCCTCAGGCTGGCCTTACTCTTGTATGCAATAATAACGCTCATCAAATCTTGTTTCAGACATTTAGGCTCTGTTTGGCCTAGCCTGCCATGGTCTTCGAGAGTCCTAGTCCCAATCCAAACACGATTTTAAATCTCTGTATCCAATTTAAAGAAAATTTTCATGGATACCTATACAATTTGGGAGTCACCTTGTAGATCTGGCAGATGGCTAATTCACCATGATGCATCCAAATAGATGAGAAACGAAAAAGTATGTTGATTGTTAGTTCATCTGTGATCTGTCAAAAAATGATATTGCTGCTATAATAAGAGCCATTTTACACTTTTCGACCCCAAATCCTAGGACTGGATAAACCCAAAATTTCTATGTCTTGTACACTTTTTTTTTCCTGCTGTCAGAGTGTTGTTTACTATGCTGGTACATTTAAAGATACACATGAACTTTGCTGGAGTTTTTTGTGCTGAAGATGGGAATAAATTGACAATTTGTTGTTTCTGCAGTTGGACATCCTTGTCTCATTGCAACATTTTCTTCATGTTCTTTGCCTGAGAGTAAATAGCTGTTTGAGTCAAATGCAACTGAGTAGTCATAATACGACTTGAGACTGTGATGTAGAACCCCACCATTTTTTTATATTCTGCTTTGACCACTCGTTGATTTTTAAGTTCCATTTCTCTGTTTGCAGGGCGATCACCGAGATGCATTTTATCTCAGACAAAATATCCTACGAGCAGTTTTGGCTTTACTCAACTTGAAGGTTTGTCTTGAATCATATTCAATGTTTTATTTCCTTTTGCGTGTGAGGAGGTAGGTAGATAGCTGGTGTGGAAGGATTAGTGTTAACAAGAATTTGAGATTAGATATTGCCTTGTAGGAATGTTCATCGTTGAATGAGCGTTTGGTAGTTGCGTTACCAGTAGCTGCATATGCCCTGTGTTCTGGTTCTGCTTGTCCAATAAATGAGCCTCTCGGACTTGCACAATTACTCCATGTTTCTGAATCCACGAGTGAAAGGGTCAAGGTGCGTCCTTGGAACAGTAAAAATCGAATAATCATACTCTGCATCTTCATGCTTATGTTCTGTTAAACACTGATTTCGTTGGTGGTAGGAAGAGGAACAATCACTTGAAAAGCTGCATGATTTTTTTGAGTGCTCTGTGGAAGTCCTTGCGAGGATTAGTGATGATTCTGAGCAAAAGGTGCTGCATCTTTCTGCATTTTTTTTTTCAACTCCTTTTGAAACGAATCCTTTGGTTTTTTGTTGATTTTCGTTGTAATATTAGGGTACCCTTTCGGAGTATCCACATATACGTCTGCCCCGGCAACTAAAGGATAGGCTGCTCCAGGAGATGGAAAACTACGTTCTTGAATGTATCAGGGATAAAGAAAATGAGAAATTTCTCCTACCAGAACTCATCAACATATGTGCTCTTTTATCTAATTTCATGTACTGTTCATACTCATCAAGGTTAGACTTCTCCTTTATCTTTGTTTAATTTGGTTTTGTTCATTATCATCAGGTGGAAAATCTTCACATCTGCTTCAAGCTTGTTTGATGGGTTGTGCTTTTTTTTTTTACTTACTCCTTTGATTAATACTAACTAATATGTATACCCGTGCGATGCACGGGAGATAATATAAATAGATATGCTAAGAAAATATTAATATTAATATTATTTTTATTTTTTTACTTTACTATACCTAATAAAATTGATTAATATGTTGACGTACATTATTTCAAAATATATATAATTTTATAACTTTCAAAAGTGATATTTGATAATTTAATTATTTAATATTTCTCAAGTAATAAAAGTATTGTTATGAATATTTTTATTTTTATTTTGACTCATTGGTAGTTTGCACGGCAGACAACAAATAATTAGTTTATAGTTTTAGTGTTGTATACTTAAAACTTAGAAATGATTGTTTATCTTTAATTTTGCATTGTTTAAGTATTTAAAGTTGTACTGGTTTTGAAGAAGTTTTTTTGCTTTCTCATTTTCGGAGATTAAACATGTACTTTTGGATATTCTGATAAAATTCGTATATTTTAAATCATATATATTATATGTATTTTAAATTTTAGATAAATATATTATAATCAAGAAAACTTAAAATAAACATAATGAACATAATTATACTTGTTAATTTTGAACAACAATCCCAACTGAAACATTAATAATCCGATGAAGCTAAAAACTTTCAGAAATTAAGAAGACTCCAAAAACAAACTTAAGCCATATATATATTCACATAATCGTAGATGTTAATTCAAGAGCGCTATAACATTAAACAATATTTCAGAGTTAAAAAATTTTGTGAAAGGTACAATTGGAATTAGGTAAATAATTTTTTTTTTCCTGAATAAGACTCGACGAAACGTCATCCTAAATATAATATTGATAATCTTATAAAATTAAAAGATTTATAGACTTATAGTCTATGAAAACCACCCAAAATAAACATAATATACCGTCCTTACACAAACAAATAAAAATATAATTTGTTTGTCCTTACAAAAACAAATCAAGTAGTCCTTAAAAAAGTAAAAACAAATCAAAACTAAAAACTTGGCCAACTGATAGTGGTTTAGAACTTAGTTCTTCCAAAAATAAAAACATAGCAAACCTTCGACAATTGGTTTAGAATATATTAGCTATAAGGAGGGATAACAATCACGAAATAATAAAACATAATTCTCTCCATCATTCTAACTCATCTCTCCCTCCTCCACTAACTCATCTATATGTGAACCTTCAGTTGATCAATCCTGCAAACAGTTATTGTTTACATTTTTGTTATTCCAACAAAGTATAAATAAATAAAGTAATTTATAAGTTGCAATAATAAATAAAATAATAATTATTTACATTAAAACCTTAAAACGCCATTGTCAAGAAAACTGCCACACAACAATAGAAATAGAAATTATTATAATAAATTAAAAATTGTCCAAATTAATAAAGGTGATCAATAATCTTCATTCGTAAATGATCCTTTCCTGTTTGATGAAACACTTACTCAAAATTGTCCACATTATTGGTGGTCCTTATCCTTCAATAGAAAAATGTACAGTAAGAATATACTATAATTAACGAACACAAAAATATGATAATTTTAAAAACTCATAAACAAACCTTGGTAAAAATAGTTTATTTTATTATTCGCTTGGATTAACATTAATCAATTTGGCTATATGGGTACCTTTAAAAATATAATAATAATAATAAATTTAAAATATTAAAAAAAGTAATGTGCGTCGAGTAACAAAAGTACATAAAAAAAGAAATTAAAAGACATATAAGTAAGAATCATACAATATTGCTCTTAAGAAATAATAACAATTTTTTTTTCCCGGATATATATGTAACGAATCATTTCAACACTTTTTTTCACACGATGAAAGCAACAATGACTGGTAGCACAGAGAAGGCAAGAGCAACTACCTATTTCTGACATATGAAATCAACCATCATTGAGAACAATTATTAAGAACGCTAATAAGGCGACAACAACCAAATTTATAATTTCACAAAACCTGAAAAATACAAAAAAAAAAGAGTTATGCTTACTTGAAAAAAAAATATAAAAAAATTGACAGTGATATATTTAAAGGTCCGACCGTCCAGGGGATACTGTAGACCACCGTTGTTTTCTTGTTCGGCATGATAATCGTGCAGTAGCTATATTAAGACCAATAGCGAAAAATTTTAGAGATATTCGTGTGAAGTGAAAGATTTTTTGTTATACAGGAGGGATGATGATAATGGTGAGTGGTTATTTATATACAGCAGGGTGATCGTGGGGATGGGGTTAAAGAGCATAATTTCATTTTAAAAAGTTAATGAAATAAATAAACTTATTGAAGTTATCCTAATTTCTTTGTAAATATATTATTTATATTAGTTTGTTTAATTTATTATTATTGTTATTATTATTTGTGCAAGAATTTAAAAAAAAAAATACATCATTGTAGTTCAACCTGCAGAATGACATAATATAATTTAAATAATCAGCAACTTTCAACATAAAATATATTTTTGAATTGTAATGAATACACTGTGCAAAAAAATGAGAACCACACTCAAATATTTAAGAAATTAAAAATATCATGACTAAATATTGTACAAAAAAAAATACGATCACTTATTTTTGAAATGAGATCCGCACTTAAATATTTAAGATATTAAAAATATCATGACTAAATATTGTACAAAAAAAAGTACGATCACTTATTTTTGAAAAGACATACTTTCTCATTGTAATGTAAAAAAAGCATTGAAATAATACTAACGTTTTGAATGGGCGGTTATGAACACATATTCTTTTACAAAATAAATAAACAAAAAGACCATGCCCATGAGTCATGACGTTAGAAATCAACTTTCTAAAAATAGAAAGTCTGTGGGACCCACTTCTAAAACTTACTAAATATAGAAAGTGGGTTGCCTAATTATATAATAGATATTGTTCAAAATGTTGCACTTGCAACTTTTTTTTTTTTGTTATGTATTACTCATTTAGAACTTTACTTATTTGTTCCTCTGTGTTAGAATGTTTGTCCCACAATGGTTAGTTATTGGGCTGCTATCATGTATAAGTGTGAGTTGGGCACCCTCTCCCTTTGAGCTAGCTTTTGGGGATGAGTTCTGCGCAAGCCATTTATCATGGTATCAGAGCAACCAAATTTGTTTGTTTGGAGGCGATTTTGGGTTTTGGAATTGGTTTGGCATGCTAAGCATGAGAGCAGGTGTTGGTAGTTATGTTTGTCCCGCATCGATTAGTTACTGGGCTGTTATTGGTTCGGTTGGGCACCCTCTCCCTTTGAGTTCTATCCAAGCCCATTTATCATGATATCAAAGCACCCTGATTTTGTTTGTTTGGGGGTGATGTTGGGTTTGGACCCGGCCCATTTGGTTTTGACACACTGCGCATGCGCGTGAGGATGTGTGTTAGAAGTTATGTTTGTCCCACATTGATTAGTTATTGGGCTGTTATCGTTTATAAGTGTGAGTTGGGCATCCTCTCCCTTTTGCATTAGCTTTTGGGGATGAGTTCTACCTAGGCCCATGTATTTAGATTTAATTATCTTCTTGTTATTACATATGCTGGATTTGCCTTTTCCAATGCCTGATTTTGTTCCCTTGAGGTCAAATGTGAAGAAATATTCTGATATATCGCGTTGCTGTCATGCTGTGTTTATTCTTACTCGTTAGGATCAGTTTACTGATTTTACCTGCAAACTCCTTTTTTTTTCTTCCTTTTCTCTTGATTTCTCAGTAATTGTCAGATGTCATTTGATGTTGTGAAATTTAGTCTTTCCTTTTCCCATTTTGCTTTACATGCTTCTTTAACCATAACCAGGATTAGAGAAGACATCTCTCCTTTCTTTTTCAAACTTGGTGAGGCCATGCTAGAGTTGCTGGATCATGCTATTTCAGTGATTGAAAAAACTTGCAATGATTCTATCTCCGGTTGTTGGGGCTTGAACTCTCTTTTCAACAACGCAGAATTGACAGTGGCTTCTTTTAAAAGCTTTATTAGCTCACCTCTGCTTAGCAAATGGCCAGAGAAAAATAGCACCAGTAGGGGGCTATATCCTAGAATTATTCAGTCAGCCGAGAAACTTTTGAAAGGTCTAGCGAAACTGTATGAAGGATGTTCAGGGCACAGAATGAATATTCATGCTAACATAACCTCTCCTGACTTACCTTCTGTCTTGGATTCTGTTCCACTTGGTAGAAGCAAAAGTTTGATTTTAGACATGGAGTTGGATATAAATGGTGGATCCATGCATGTTGATAGTTTAGCTGTTGATGGTGATGGTGATCATACATCTGGAGCTTCCATTTCATTCGTGAATCAGAAAATGGACCTCTTGTTAATCATGTCAAGTTTTTTCTCAATTTTACCATCACTTACCTGGGAAATTTTGTTTAATCTCAAGGAGAAAGAGAGTAATCCAAAGGTATGCCCTCTCATAAAACTTTCCTCCCAAACATATTTTACTACTCTACTGTTTACGCTAGTTAAACTTTCATGGTAGAGCAGGTTTCGGAAAAGTTCCTACTCATCCTTTGTCAGCATCCTCACTGGTCTTCGTGTAAACAGCTATTGGATTTGGTAAGTTGGTCCTTTTCATTTTCTTATTAGTGTGTGTGTGTAATTCAATTTGTCCTTGTTTAATTTTTTTTTTTGAAAGATCAAAAAACTTCTAGTCAATTTGACCAACTGCAGATTACATCGATGGCTGATATTATCCACACCTGGGAAAATCTTAAACTCCAAAGTTCATATGTCCTTTGTGGCATTTGTAATTTGGTGGGAAGCCTTCTACATTTAGATGGAGCAGGGAAGCATGAGACTGTTGCTTATTCTTCAGGGGAAAAATTGTTTGATGAGGTAAGCAAGATAAGTTGAGTTTTTAAGCATGTGAGAGTTGATTCTGCTTTTGCTTCCTAGAACTTTAGGTGTGGAGAAAACACACATAAAATCTAGTCTTATCAAGGAGATCAATAACTTTACTAGGAAATATTTTGTAAGTACTGCTGTAATAGAAACGACCTAGCCGAGTTTTGTCATTTTTAGCTTGTGTTCGATTATGTTCGAACACTGTCTCTGTTTGTTCGTTCACTATTCGAGCGCTTGTTCATTTGATTGTTTGTTAAAGTTCAATTTTGTTCGTCTTCGAATAACTTAGTAAACAAGCTTACGAAAATGAGTTGTTTAACTCGAGTTCAGTTTGTTCAAAATCGTTCGAGCTTGAAAAAAAAAAAGAAAAAATTGAATATAAAAAATGTATGTTTTGGCACTTTATAAATTTCTATAAGAAATATTGTAAATGTGATACAAAAATAGACGAATTGTATATTTAATTAATGTTTGCAAATAGCCTTATGATTATTGATGAGTGTCAAGCATAACTTCTCTAGTGATTATCAATGTTTGACATGCATAACTTCTAGCACACGCTATGCGTGACAATCCACATGGTCAGGTCCAAACCCAACATCGACCTAACATCACCGGGAGGGTCCCCAATCACACTTATGCACAATAATAAACCAGTGAATAAGTATGAAACAACTTCTAACTCTAACCAATTAGGAGAAACACATGAACTAACGCCTTCCATGAAGATTAGTTGAGAATTAAAATATTTAAAGAGCTTCTAGAGTATTGGCTTCCGAAGAGATCATATTGATTTTTCCAGGTGGTGGAAAGACCGCATCGAGTGAGATCAAATAGTCTAAAAAGAAATGAAAAACAAGAGCTACTTTTGAGATGGGTTACTAAGGATGCATTACAGCAGAGACTAAATAGTCTAAAAAGGAATAGAAAAACAAGGGCTACCTTTGAGGCAGCTTGCTAAGGATGCATTACATTTCTTCTGATTGAAGCATTTGTTTTACTTTGACTATTGCGTGTACAGGGCAATCATGATGGATCGCTGAACAAATTTCAGTGCAATATAATAAATATGCTCTTTAATGTTAATTTCATTTTTATCATTTTTTTTTTCATGATATATTATTATTTAATATTTGATTAGTGTGTGTGTGTGTGTATATATATATATATTGAATACAAAATTTCATGGTTCTCAATTACGATATTTGATAAATTATTGATTTATTAACTCGTTTTTATAATTTACGCAAACATATGTTATGGACATTTTGAATTTTATTTTTGAGCCAATTATTTACGTTGTGTTTCAATATTTGACTCATTAATTAATCTTTTTAATGTAAATTCTATATCTATCTTCAACATAAATTTTTAAACTTATGTGAGAGTTGGGGAAAAATATACCAAAAATATTAAATTGCATTAATTAAATATTGTGCAATATACATTTATAATTTGCATTATGAGATAACTTTAGGGTCATTCGTTGTTTCTTATTTATTAGATTTATATCGTTCACTCATAATGTTTGAGTGGAAAACTGCCAACTCTTGTTTAACCAAGTTTCTCTGTGTTCAGTGCTTGATTTCACTTGGAGATTTGGTCAATAAAGTCTTCGAGAATAGCTTTTTGGATTGGCGTGATCGCTCTAAGCTTGTTGACTGCATATGCAGTTTTATCTCACTTAGACCACAAATTGCTCAAGTAATGTGAAACAACATTAGAAACTTGTCTTTTCAGCTCTGTTTTACGCATTTATAATTACAGCAACTGGTCTATAAAGTAATGGTTGCATATTGAATCTGCGGTCCTCGACTTCCTTTCAGCAGTCGATGATTGAGAAACTGTTTATGCTGCTGCGGGATCCTGATTATCGAGTTAGATTTTGCCTTGCACGTCGGATTGGTGTTCTTTTCCAGACATGGGATGGTCATTTAGAGCTCTTCCAGGATGTGTAGTAAGTATTTAAGGTTAATGTGGCTTATGAATTTTTTTTCCTCATCCTACTTCTTACTTGTTTACTCTTTATTC